AAGCCATAGGAAGGCCATGGTTTCAAAGAGTGTTTAGAACCACAATCCCTATAAATATGTGCTTGATAAGACATCTAAATGCTTCCTGTAAAGGTGTTTTTTAGTGTCCAAATAAAAAATCCCATCCTACTAGGAAGGAAAATTATTTAACTTTTTTCTCAGATGATTGGAACAAATAGTTAGATTCACTTAAATTCAGGACACAACCTCAGTTCCCTTTCTAAATCATTTCAGTGTTGTTTTTTCTCATTCTGCCTTCTGCAGATAAAACAAGTGTTCCAGCAAATGTTGTGGTAGAGTGAAGATGGACTTTATTTCTATAATACGGCAGAAAGAAATTGTTCCCTGCTTTCCTTTTCAGGATGCATGTTCCAAGCCAGCGTGACTGGCTATGCTACACTTAAAATGGAATTACTTTTGCTGACCAGATTTTACAAAGCAGTCTGACATCTACAGCTGATGATCTCCAATTAAATACTGAAAGATATTTGAAGGATATTTTTGCAATCAGGACTTGCTTGTGCTGCATTTATACTTTCTGACCTATGTATCTTTTTACCTTTATGGTATCTGTCAGTATAGTAACCAGCTGAGCATGTGAGCTCTGGAACAGTTTCTCAAAGAAGGGAACTTCAATGAACGAAAAACATTGTTACGCCTAAATAGGATTGTTTAGCTCTCTCAGCTTGGTCCAGCTAGTTGCCGTATCTTATTGAGAATTATGATCACACAGGAGGTTTAGTCCCAAAGACATATAGTGATAAATGCTGTGGATTAAATAAAAAAAAAAAAAAAAAGAAAGCACAACAACAAATAACTTCCCCCACAAACCAAAGTAAGAGGATAGTTTTCCACAGGGCAGCAGATGAGAACCTCTGTATCTGAGACAGGTGCAGAGTTACAGCTTGAAGTGAGACTTTGCTGTTTCTCATTTTCCTTCTCACAATTTTGCAGCTTGCCATTTCTGTGCTTTATATGAATGGCTTTACCAGGATTTTAAGTTGAGAGAACAAAGTGTTTGTGATGCATCAGTGCTATGAATCAGCAGAGGGCACTATGTGCCTATACTCTGTAACTGTGAATTAATAGGCAGTGGCATCTTTGTGAAGTTAGCATCAGTTACTCCAAGGTTTAGATGATTTAACTGAGGGAATGTGCTCATTCAGTGATGCAGAAAAATGTACCACAACATCTTGTTCCTTTCAATGAAAGGTGGCTGTATTTATGAGATGCTTATACTGTGCTATAAAAAAATTGTATGAATCATTGGCACCAGAGGCTTCAATTCACAATACTGCATCCCACTTGAGCACTACCTGGGTACATAACATTTTGAGGAGGATGAAGTTGTCTTGTGCCTACAAAAGCAGGCTTGGTCCTGAGATCCCACTTTGCATTGAGATACTGGTGATATTTCCTGATGGAGAGTGTCAGAAAATGCATGGAATCCCATCCCTGTGCCCTCCCAGCTGCTGAGGCTGATACTCAAGGAGCTGCTGATACTCACTTGCCATAATGTGGTTTATTTCCCCTGTGATAACACCCATCTTGTGTCAGCTATTTGGCCTGAAACAGAGCTGATGTCTGTGGAAAGTTTATGCTACTTATATGACATATGTCCCATGTAACTAATCCAAACGTTGGTTGCTATGAAACAGATGGATGAGAAAATCATTTGGGAATAGTAATATTTATGACAAATACTGGATTTGTCAATTCTGTTTGTTTATTCCTGAGACAGCTGGGTTTCTGGAATTTCTTCCCTATAGATTCAGCCTCTTCAGTGTTTCAGTTTTTTTTGGAAACTATCCAGAGCTTGCTTTGGTGCTGCAATTTTTGTTTCTGTGTAGAGCCTAATCCTGCAGTTTCTTCTCAAACAAAATTCTCATTGACAGCTCCTGGAGTTTTATCTGTGTAAAAGTAACTTTCACAGGGGATTCCCTCACTTTTATGATTGGGTTTTTTTTCCAGGTCAAAGTTTTTTCTTGTGCTTTATGAGATTTGTCACCCTCAATTTCTGGACAAGAGACATACCTAAGAATTCCCTTTCAGCAGTTCAAATGCAGTGAAATAGAAGAATACTAAAATAAATATATTTTTTGTGTGTCTCTTTAGCCATCCACACGTGAGGAAGGACCACAGGGAACATGTAAGACTTGAGTTAACTCAGAAGGGATAACTCAGGATTGCTTCTGGCATAGCAGGAGCTCAGCACAAAATCAGTAACTGGAATAATCCATTCTGATGCTGTCCTGGTTTTCTTGAGCACAGCAGTGTATGTATTTCATAAATCTAAATCTTTGAAATGCTAGATACTTAAAACCAAACTGATATGCTCTGTCTTTGGAATACATACATGGTGTTTATATCAGTGAAGGGTGGCTCCAGTGTTCAGAAGAAGCTACAGTAAAACTGACTTATTGCCAGAGGAGCTAGTTGTGAAATTTTAATGTGCTCAAAAAGGCAAAAAGGTAATTATCAACATGGTTCAGATGTTACTAACTGCAACAGGAAGGTCTAGAAGGTGAGACTGGATGGAAGTCTAGAGGTTTTCCTGCTCTTTTTTAACCCTCAGGCAGCAGAGTATGACAATGTGCCCCAGTTAATTTCATGCCCAAAATTAATTCAATGTTAAGAATTAATTAATTAATTTCATGTCCATTTTGGGACTAAATGCTTCTGATGAAACAAACTCACAGAGTTTATCTCCATCTACAAGAATATATTTTCCTGATTCCAATTTAATCTATTTTTGAATTTTGGAGCACAAGAGTTATAGAAATACACTTTTGTTCCATGCTGAATGAAAAAAAACCAACACAACAAAACAAAATCAACCCTCCACTTCCAGGAGTATTTGTCAACATGTGCTGCAATATCCATTCTTAAATTGAAAATGCTGAGTTTTCAACCATGGTACCTCTGGCTCGTGAAGTGACTGGAGATCTACTCTGTCTGTGTCAAAACTTCTGATTGAAAACTTTTTTAAAAAAAATGCTTTGGCATTTTACAACTTATAATCTCTCCTCAAAAGCACTGCAAAATAAAGTTGTTGTTTTGCAGCTACTTCTTCATATGTCCATGGACCTAAGTATTAATGCCTTTACTCCCACACTTGGCTCTCTTCCTAATTTTCATTAGTGTTTCATTGGTGTTTCTGACAAGGATTCCATTAGTCCTGCATTGTACAAAGACTAACGAAAAAGCAGTTTCTTCTTAGTTTTCTCTAACCTGTTGACATTTTTTTGTAAACTAGTTTTCTCTTATTCTTATCCTTGGCTTCGTTTTTTGGTCTTACTGCTTTTTAAGTATCTCCCACTTTGAATTAGAAGTCCTCAAAGTTAATAGTCAGCAATTTTCAAGGTTGTATCTCATTTTGTTACTTCTGGAACAAGTTTTGAGTCTTTCAGGATCCCTCTATGCTCTTTTACTGTCTCTTCTCATGCTTGCAAACACCTGCAGATTTGAATAATGTGCTCTATCTCTCTGCTTTCACATTATTAATAAAGAAGCTAAATCAAATCAAGCCAGATGCTTATTTGAGTAAGTGGTCTTTGGGTACTTCTCATCAACAAGACACAGTGCTGTTGCTCTTACCTGGTTTAAAATATTAAATCCTAATGCAGTACCTATTTTGAAGCCTGTATAAATATTATTTTAGTAATACATTGGTGTGGCACTGCATCAGACTGTAAATAGTTAGTACTTTTACCAATTGACATTCATGCTGATGCAGTGACCACTTAAATACATAATATAAGCTTTGAAAAGTCAGCTGTGGCACACAACATGGCCTTTATTGTTTCTCAGTTTTATGAAATCCAGAATGCATTGTGAAAAAATAAGTGACTATAAAGTGCTAACGAGCATTTCTTTGTGAAATTTTAAAGCTCTTTTGCTGCATCCATATAGTCAGACAGGGAAATCCCATGTAAATAAAAAAGCTCTACATATTACCTCTCTCATGCTTAATTCAGCTAGACTTTCTGAATATCTAGTGGGGATATAGGTAAATAAAAATTAGCTATTAAATTTATAATTATGTAATTAGGACATTTGTACTGGCTACACCATCACTGTCTGGAATTCAAGGCCAGAGTTGTTGGATTGGAAGAATGAGTCATTATTAGCAAGTGCTACATTTTCTGTAGGGCTGGGGATTTTTAGGTTAGCTGAAATAAATTAATTTTTTTTTCCAGGAGGGTCTCCAAGCTAAGATTTTGGTGTGTAATAAAACTCATCACAGCTGCTTTTGTTTCATTTTGAAAGAAAAAAAACAAAACACAACAAAAACAAGCAAACACTAAATGCAGTTAAGAGTTCGGTCTTTTCATTAACATTTAGGAGAAAAGAATGTAACTTTTTTTTTTATTTTGCAGTAATAAACAGCCAATTTTTCATCTCGGTGCTCTTGCATGTCATTTTTGGGGTCTGATCTTTGTGATTCTACTGCAGGATATTAGTATTGTTGCCCACAAGTGCCCAATATAAATCTTTGAAGATACAAGACAGTATCAGTTCTGCACACAACTGACTTAATTAAACTGTGTATCACACTTAAGTTGCACATGTAGAATAGCAGGATCACAGAATGGTTGAGGTTGGACAGGACCTCTGGAGGTCATCTTGTTCAATCCCACTGCTTAGGCATGTCCACCTAGAAGCAATTGCCCAGAACCATATCCAGGCAGCTTTTTAGTATCTCCAAGGCTTCATAGAGGCTTCACAGCTTCTCTGGGCAACCTGTGCCAGTGCTTGGTCATCCTCACAGTGAGAAAGTGTTTCCTTACGTTCAGACAGAAGATCCTATGTTTGGTTTTGTGCCCATTTTCTATCATTATGCATGCACACACAGACATGATCTGTTGGAAGCTCTCACATGTGTTGATGACATCTGTGCTTTCTTCCAGTGAACACTTAACCATTTGGTGCAGCTGCCCACATGTAGAAGCCATAATTGTATTTAGTTTTTATGATCTTTTTATTGTTTTTTCATGTAGGGTAAGTCCTACCCCTTTAAAGGTGCTTTCCCTCCTATGTGGAATCCACTGGTCTACCTGGACTACAACAACCTGTGGAGAACTCTGGATGAAATGGGAAAAGAGGTATGGAATGAGGGGTTGCAGCTGTCTCCACACAGGTCAAAGTGAAGATGGGACTAGAATGCAGATAGGTCAAGCTGCTCCACCTTGAACAAACCCAGTGCTGGCAAGAGTAGCCATGCATTGGTGGTCAGAGCACATGTTGTAGCGTTTTGCCGATGATTGGGTAAGTATAATTTTAAGAGGCTTGTACACCCTTCTCCACTCTCAAATTAAGCTCAACTATTTTATTTTGTTACCAGTAGTGTATGTTTTGCATTGGCTGAGCTACAAGACTTTGAGAAAAAGTTGCTGTTGCTTGCATAGATGAATGGGAGAGATATGCAGTATTTGAGAGACATTTCCCAGCACTGTTCTTTGCCATTCTGGGCAAAGTTCTTAACTATAAAATTCTCTATTCTTTAATCTAAAAACAACACTCTTAAAACAAACAAATAAAAAAACCCTAAAAACATCCTCTGTTAACTTCACTGTATTACCTGCCAGGAATTTACAGGGTGAATCACAATTTAAAGATGAGATAGTTTCTGACTGTGTGTGTTGTTTCTTTCTTATGCCAGTCATTCATTTGCTGATGCATGCTTTCTTATGTCTCCTTAGATTCCAAATGAAGCCCCATGGAAGGCTCCACATGCAGAAGAATGGGACAAAATGACTATGAAAGACTTACTGGATAAAATTTGTTGGACAAAGTAAGAAAATCTTTAATACTAATTATAATAACTTATATTTATATTCCTTAGGGCTCCAAGTAGGTGTTACTGCTTTGCAAATAAATGTAACTACCACTAGAATGCACCCTTTTAAAAGAAATCGGGTGAGAATATCTTGTAATAATGGACTACAACACCTGTCAGCACACAAAATAGATTCTGTTGTATTTCTATAACCTTTCAGACTAAAATAAAGGTAAAAGGAAAATGTTTTTGGGGAGGGTTACTTCTGAAGACATAGGTAGGAGCTTCATCTGTTTTATGCACTTTCCCTCTCTTTACTGTGTGTTTAAGAGAAAAATGTTCTTGCTAGAGCAGATTTTTGAATCAAACTTTTGATGAAACAACACACCTTTATTCTCTGCTGGACCAGATGGTTTTGCAAAAGTGCAATAAAAAAACCCGTTTCATCTTGAAATAGCACTAAATCACTATAACAGCCGTCATTCTGTTGTTTAACTGCTACACTATATAGCACCCAGGAAAACTGAAAAGGCTTCATGGTTTTATGTGTACATCAAAGCAATTTTTCTTTACTTGCCATTCAGCAACAGTTTGATTGGTTTTCTTTACACTGAAGTAAAAGAACCCCAGTTATTCTGCCTCGCTGTAAAGCAGATTGATTTCTACAACAACCTCTTCAGAATTGCTAAGCCCCTGACACGTGGCTGCTGTGAGCCTGCATGAGCTTGGTGGAGAAGCCTGCTAGCACCCACTCAAGTTGACACGTGTTCACGGGGGCATTTTTTTTTATTTGCCTCTAGAAAGCAACGTGATCATTGTTAATGGACAGCAGGCTCTTGTCTAAAAACTTAATCTTCTGGGTGTTTTCCTTTAGCCAGAGTTACAATTGCACAAAACTACATAGGAAGTTGTTCTCATTTTTATCACAGTCCGTATTCATTAAAAACAAATAGAAATGTATGGGTTTGGTTCTACTGGCCACCTGAACCTCAGATTTAGTAGGGAGCTTATACAGGTTAGCAAAGTGCCATGCACCAGTAAGTCATTCAATATCCAGTAGCTCACATGACTGCAGTTGTATTTTTTCAAACTCTGATGAAATAAGACTTGACATGTTGCCTCAATATTGGCATAACTGTCAGCCTTTCTTAATTCCTAGATGCATTTCAGATTTTATATGTGCATCTCAGCTTGATTTGCCCAGTTTGTTCAAGGTTTAGGTAACATGCTATAGAAATTTAACCTCCTGGAAGGTAACAGTCCAGAAGGTTAATCTTCTAATATTTAACAGACTGTACAGATTTGCTTTTGGCTAGAGTAGCATGCTGGAAATCTCCTGAGTGCTCTTGGTTGAAATAATGTTGCCATTTCTAGATAAAATACCAGCAGAAACTAGGGAACTGAAATGCAAAAAAAAACAATGGGAGAAGGGGGCAAAAACTAGGAGAATTTAACCACCATCTATGAGCATCCACTTATAAAATATTAATAAATACACACACTAATTCTCCCATTAGACAAAATATATTTCAAAGTTGATAATATTTTACAATATGTGCTTATACAGACAAAATTTGATTAATATTTTCTGTATTGTTTTGGCAGTTAAAAATGAAACCAGAATGCACCACCCGTATTTCAGAAAATGGATCAGTTTTTTTATTTCAGCAG